AAGTATAACAATAGTAAATTATGCCTGCGCATCACATGCCCCTTTTTAGGGCATGGAAAGCCCCGTAATTACACGAATTCAGTTAAGTGAATTAGAACCAACGTTAGGTGCATCTTTGCTCAATCCAGGAAATAAGTGAGTTGTCATTAAATAACTAGACTGCGTGCTTTAAATTACCGTTCCAGCAGTCCGTTGGCCTACTGGACAATTCGAGATAGCGGGCTGCAATCTTCCTTTCAGTTTCAGCGGATAGTCCCATAGCGACACATGCCTATTGCAGTCATAACACTACCGTTCACCCGATTCTACTCGACATTGTCATCGAATTCTATTTTTTTTCGAGCGACTCCATTCTCTTACCTTATCTCTCTCTACGTGGCAACTAACCCATATTTCACCTACAGCGACCATATGCTTCACATTTAAAGTTTCGCATTTTTCGTATTTGGATTGTGATTCTGTAACACGTTAAATGTAAAATGCCAATTTTGGTCAGCTGAGCCATTTGACTGTTTTACTGAAACATCATCAAATATGCTCTTGTCCTTCGGGTTCTAACATCTAGTCATCTTTACCCTGAGCTTCAACGCTTTAATATCCTTTCTTGAAACGTTTGCACTATTAACGTACTGTGTTTTCGCTCAAGGTTTTTTTGCCTAATGTCTTCAATAATATTTGACGAATTTCTGCAGCGTTGCGGCCTTCGAAAAAAATACAAAGCGATAATCTTTGAGACGAAAAGATATTTCACCTCCTGAACTCACTTCTTCTAAAGTAAGCTCACTCGACTCTCAACTATCCAGACGATTGGATTTCCATTCAGCCAAATCGTCTATTAGCGGCACATAGTTATTTTATTTCAAAGTTAGCCGGAGTCGCTTCTAACAGTCTCCTCGTCTTGGATTTTCCTGATGCGTTGTGTGGATACTAACATGTGGGCAGATTTTTTCTATGACCTCCGCTAAATGTTAGTAGTGAAAATAATGTACGAAAACACTGAATATTGGTAGGGAATCAACCACTACTATAAAGAGAGTTAGGCATTTTTGAGAAAATGCTCATACTATAATATCATACATGACAAATTGCGTTTTTGGCATTTATGGCTTAATTTAAAAAAAAACATTAGAACTGTTAATTCCTTAATTAAAATTGAGCTTCATGTTTACAAATTTATTTTTGTAATTTCACTTATTTTTAAACATGGGTTTTTTAAATTGTTCCCATTAGTATGTCTTAAAAATGGTCAACGGTTATTGATATTATGATCGAAGATCAAGTTTTTTTCAGTGTGGATTGGAGCACCCGGGAAAGCCTTGATATCTTGCCCACTTAAAAGGACACTATGAAATAGATTGAAAATCTATCTTGGAAGGAAGTGCGGCGACTACTGAAAGGCCCAACGATGCAGGCAGATACTCTTCTCTTTAACAACTGGATCTAGTCAAGTACACGTAGACCCTTAAAGACGTTATCCGACTTTTATCTTTCCGAAAGCTAAAAATTAGTGTAAAAAGCTGTCATACACAAATAATACGGAAAAATGCTGGAAGTAATTCAGTTGAGATTTTCGTTCATAGCATTCGTAGCACGATACATAGTTAAATATTGTTTGATTTATGATGATAATAGGGACGTTCATTAAAACGCATTTCACGCTCTACGAATAATTTTTTAGAATTTCTTACTCTCTGATACGTAAGACTCTCTAATCGCCAATTCTACCCATATCTGATTATTTATAACTATAAAGTTAATTAACTATAAAGTTTTCACACACTGTACAACTGAATCCAGTTGCTATTTAATGCAGCTTATTCTATGACGAACTTAGGTAGAACCCGTTCACGACTGTATGGTTGCTTATGTAATTGTTTAGCTCTATTATGCCATCGATGTACTTTTACCTATAGAACTAATTAAAAGGGTTCATGTTGGAAGTTAGATTATAGTTAGTAATTGAAGCATAACCGCCTTTTTCTTGATCCTATTCAAGTTACTAAATATTCTGAGAATTAACTTATAATTATTTATTAATGAAGCCCTGTCAATGCTATACACCGGTATAGGTTTTTGGCCGTCATTAAAATAGAGAAAAATTTACAGAATTTAGAGGACGTGCAGCAATTCAGATTGCATGTTAACGCAAACCAGTTTCTATACACGCAATATCCGTTTAGGTATTCTGTGTCGAAGGCTATCACGGTATTGCACTTAAGTAACAGAAGAAATAAACGTCAGTCGGATAATCTTCAGTAGCTCACTTGTATTGATATTCAAAGCTGCAAAGTTGTTGTATTGTTCCTTAGGACATGCCTATTAATCTAGCAGTAAAGAGGAATGTCTAGCAGCATTCTCTAAGCGACATCACTTGGCTTTAAATCAACAGTTTCGAACTGCATAAACAAATAACCAGCTTTATAAATATATTGATTTAATCTTCATTAGATATATATAGTCCGTCAACTTTAGAACTCCACATAGATCGCTTAATTGTGAAGCATTATATTAAATAATTTCACCTATTATTATTATTATTATCTTAAAATTTAGGTGGTTAAAAATTACGGATTAGTAAAGACGTTTCCTTTCGAGAATGATTTTACACATCAAAGGATTTAATGTAATAAAAGCATGTTTTTATAATAATCTTGAATACACCAATAATTTTGATTACATATGAATTTATTATATGTTCGTGGCAAAAATATATGCATACCAAAATCGAACAATAAGCCCAGAGTTTATTTGAAATAGACAAGTACTGACTGAAGTTTACAAAGCTATAAAAATAGTGGTTCAAGGACTATTTTCGAAGTCATCATGTGTTTTCAACAATACAGGTGGTTAAACAAAGTAAACGTGAATGATAGCAGCCTCAAGAAACCGAACCTTTCTTTTCAGTAATATACTTTCATTGTACGTCAGTCTAGCCTAAGATGTAATTACTTAACCACTTTTACAATTTGAACAAAAAAAATCACGGGGATGTGGTCTGTGAAAAGAAAACAGGACATGAGTTACCGCAGATTTTTTAAATACAAATTGTATCTTATACTATTAGTACACGAAGAAACCGGATTTCGAATTAAAGCAACTTCTTTTAGACATGACCATATCTTAAGGCGATCTCTTAGTTTCGTAAACGAATTAATGAAAGCACAAATGTATTTAAGGATATGGATGTAAATGTTAATTTCAGGTTTCACCCTTATACCGCACAAAGAACACCTAGGTGAAGTTTGGCGTCTCAAATTACGATGGCGGCAAATATAAATTTAGCAAGCGACGTCAGCTATTGCATACGTAATAACACGTTTAGCTATTCTAGTCGGATAAGAATAGAAAGCAAGACATACTACCCTATTAAGCATTGGACAGTTTTCATTTCAGAGGATTAGTCACCGTTGTGAGCTCGCTGGCTGGGGAGTAAACCAAGGCTATACGCACGAGAAGTGGCTGAATCCACTGTTACCCAGGCTCCATAAGCCTTCATGTACAGTATTGGGCTCCAAGTATTAACACATCTATAGTCTCTAGAAGGATTATACGTGTTGCCTTTCTAATAGGGGAAATCCCAGTGAGCTCAATAAACTTTTAACCTGGATTTATAGGCGGACGATAACATCAGCTTCCCTCATTCGCGTATCATTGAAACTGTTAAAGTATACAGGCCGCGTGTACGGAAGAGCTTTGTGAACCGTTGAGTAAGTTTAGACGGTTGCAAAACCGTCAATTTACGACGGAGCGCCGCACTTGTATATTCTTTTTGGCTTTTAAATGGGTTTAAGTGACGTTGCTTACACAAGTCTGGCGAGAGAAACCATAACGCAGGTTTATCTAATGTGGGTTGATGGGCGCGAAGTTCGACTCCGATGGGTAGATTTCGTTTTGCCAAAACCGATACTCAATAATTCCCGACACTCTTCTTACACGCCACTTCATCCATCCGGCTCTTAGCTGTTTAGAACTATTCTACAGGCCGTTTGGATGGAGCATTAAGAACAACCAGGCGATTAGGGGCCATATCGCCTAAGCATTTTCACGAATTCAGAGACAATAACTACTTGTTTCTAATCCCCTGACTGATCCATAGGAATCATGTCAGCAGAGATTGGTTACCGATAAAATCAATACATTAACATTACATTTATGAGCATCTGCTAGGGATCCAATAGGGACACAATTAGGCCTTGGGAAATAATTTTTTTTTCAAATTAATCCAAGACGTAATTCAAGTTCTCGATGTAAATTAACTTGTGCTACCATTGCACAACTTCAAAGCTACTCATTTACCAATGAAATGTTTTCAAAATATTTTCTACTAGCTCAACCTTAACTTATAAGATAGTAGTGTTCATATCTGCTGATTTAGACCTCTAGTATTACGTGGTGGTAGTAGTAGCTTTAACCACCTAATGAGCAGTCAAAATGGTCCTTCTAGATGATTATAAAAAAGGCAATGCTATTAGAGAAGAACAGCAGTCAGATTGGTAGGAACCAGTCGTTACCCGATCGCTTCCCCTACTCATCAGGCTTCAAACGTTTAGCTGTGCTACAGTGCTTGACACATAATTAAAAACAACAATTTCTTGGTTCTAACTTAAATGCTGATGTTTGAAGGAAACCCGCCAATTTTTTGAATGAATTTCGAAAACGTTATAAAACGTACAAAAAAAAAGTCTAATAAGTCGAAGTGTAACATAAAACACAATGCAAAGTGATATAAGTATGTAAATATGTATGTACCGTTGCTTACTTTTATTACTTAGAGATAGGATTTGGAAACGAATTACTCATTTTTACGTTTTGACTTTCTTTTACACAGCGAGATCCGTTTCAATAAGTTTCACATAGGTGGTTCAAGTGTCTTCTTAGTTCTCTTTATTTATTTCTTAACTGTGTTTAGGTTTTAAATGGAGGTTTGAGTCCCACAAAAACAAATTCGAATTCTATAAGCACCATGTTGAACACTGTAGTATATCAAGAAATTCGAATCGACATTAATTAATTAAACGTTTTACGGTGAGCATCCATTTCCCGATGTTTATATTTAAGGAATGATTTTTACAAACTGAACGCACTAGACACTTCTAAATTTAACAAAATAAAATAGCTTTTTTTCGTTTGATTGAAATAATAATTGAGCTGTCAGAACTTGGGGATCTAAATATGCCACAAATACTTGGCTTCTGGCAGGGAATCGTTTGGATTCTACGCCAGCAACTCCCGAAATCGAAGTCCAATACTTTCTGTGAATGCAGATTTATATGTCAGTCGATTGGTTTTGGTCGAATCTTCCCCAAAATCAGTCTCTTTTTTTCGGATTGCTGAAAATTCCGTAATTTTCCAGTAGATCTACTTTCTGCCCACAGCGCAGCTGCGTTTAACTAGCGCCAATATCTTTACACTTCCATCTACTGCTAATGTAATCGAAACATCCCGCTTCCCTACAAGCACTGTCCCTGGCGGGAATGTCGGCTTACACAGTTTTCAACCCTTGTAACAGAAAACAGAAATAAAAGAACACACAATTCAATTCAATTACAGATGCTGGAAAACTTTTAAACCTGTGATAGTGTAGTCTCAAAAACATTAGCAAGCCATTTTTAGAAACTTTTAGGTAGGAAAGAACAGGTAAATAAACTGTAACAGGTAACTAAAAGATCCGACAACTAGAGATGTCTACTGCGTTTGTTTAGCAAGCCAAAAACAGCCCGCCACATACTCATATCAGACAACCCAGGGGAGCTTCAGTTCTTTCACGTGTGTCCGGTGACGAGGATTTGTTTGGATCTCTGCGTCGCGCACCTGCCGCTGTCCCCCTAAGCTGTTATCGAGCCAGGCTCAGATCCAAGTAGTGAGAACATTTCATGAATAACAAAGCAAACGCTACGAAAGCCGTGCCGAAAATGCCTTACATCAAAGAAGATGTATCGATCTAACTCTTTGAACCCGGTTCTGAATTTTGAGAACGAGAGACCATGCTTATACGAAAAGCGAAGTTAGAAAACGGCAAGGATAAAGTTGTAAGGGATGTTGCAGGAGCCCTGCGAGGGAGCTCAGCAGGCAGACAGGAAAGAACAACGGGCGAGGCCATTGGGCCGGTTTCGAGGGTAAGGGCAGGTTTGCTATCTGTGTGTCCGGTTGTCAGTCTTGTGTCCCTTCACGGTTTGTGCCGGGAACAGCGGACGGTAAAGGACAGTGGACCGGCCAACGATTGAAGCAGCAGCATGAACACCAGTAGCGAGCGTAGAGTTGGCCCGCTCCATCAGTACTAGCATTAGCATTGGCACTAGCCCAATCGCAGTAACGTAATACCGCTATCCAAATGCTGCGGTGCATTGTTTCGCTCACCACAGCGATGCCATAGTGGTGGGTAAGTGGTGACTGCTGCTCTTGCAATTGACACAGTCTGTACGGCGATAATCGAGCAGTACCAGTAAAGCCACGCACGTTTCGTTATTATAAAAGCTCGGCTTTCCCAATCAGCTGTGTTACCGCTCCGTATGAATGTCGTTCAGATCAGCACACATTCTATTGTTACTGGGTGACGATTAATGCTGGTGTTAGTGCTGAGCACTCTGGCGGCATTGACGGCTCGTCATCGTGCAAGTGGTGTATCCGTCAGCCAGGCACTACCGTTTAGCAAATAGCTAAATCGATAGATATGGCAGTGACGTTACGATTTTTGACATCGAGGCCCCGCAGTCTTAGCTAAGGAGAGGATGAATTCTACTTTATGGGCAGAGAATTCTATGAGGTGCTGTTTTTATCGTGCAGCTAGCTAGTCAAAAGTGTAATGTCTCAGTGTTGTGTAAACAAATGTTCCTTCAGTGAGTGTTGATAGCGCAGAAAAGAAGCCTCCGTATCTGTGCAATACGAAGATCACGACAGCTCATGGTGTAGTGTTTTGTATATGTGCATCAATCGTGTACGTACAATATTGGAAAAATAGACACTCTACGGCGGTCTGTAAATCTAGAGAAGATTAACGAGTTGCAAAGTATGGAAATACCTTTCTACTGGGGTCTATAAAGTGTACATAGCAGCGAAGAAAAAACACGATGGAAACTGATGACGAGGAGCTCGATCCGCGGGTACAGGTAGGTTCCAAAAACGAGCGCAATAACGATTTCACAGGGGTAAATGAATTTTATTACTGTACATAATATTTGACCGAATTAAAACAGTAATGCTTATTCTGCAATGCAGCAAATCAGTTCTAAAAGAGTTTTGCCTACCTGATAGAGATAATATTTGTGTGATTGTTCTTTCCTTGTGCTGCTAGTAGCTCTAGTGAGCAAGTTATTTGAATGATCATCAGTTACAACAAGACCTATGTATCTATCTATATAGTGAGATGGCTATTTTTATCTACTTGTCAACTAGTCTAACGCGTTGCACATGATAGCGCTGGGTCTATTAGTCGATGAGTCCAGGCACGCGTGACGATGTACGCAGAGTACATTTTAGACTACAACGGTATTTCGAAACTCTTAATAATCTAAGCATGCGAAGTTTGGGAATACAGTTTCCCATATATGTAGTTATGGTCAAGTGCATGTGCATAGACTGACCGTCGGATTAGGTAAAGCCAACGGATCAACTTTTGTGCTCCTTCATAATCGCATAATCGTTCAGGTTTCATTCCTGTTCAGATATCTGAATTTACATTTCAATCCATTCATTGACGCATTGTAAAACCTGAATAGACCTCAGTGGAAGCACGAAGCCGACAGTCAGACGGCCAAGCAGCCGTGCCGCTGTCCAAAACGGTGTCTATGACCCTATGAACCTCTCGCCTTTCTTTGCGTGTCCCACAGTGCTCTGTCCACTGTTGCTATACGTCCCCCAACTATTGTCAGCACCAACAGCCATTCTACGACTTGCTTGATGCCGCTTTTCCCGTAATCGCGGCCGCTTTTCATTCGTCGTTCTTGTCGCTGTTGCAATCCGTTAAGAAGCACAAGTCTAGTTATCTGCCAGTTTACTAGTGGGTGCACGGAAAAATAAAGCTTCAAAGAGTATTTCGTTTGAATGTAAGCCGAGGCAATGGCACCGAATAACGGTGAATAGCACACTTACTGACGAGTGTTGTGATCTGAGCCGAATATGAAACGAGTTATGATGTCGACGAACCTGACATAGTTACCGCTGCAAGCGGCCTGCGACTGCCTGACTTGCTGTTGTTCGGTTGTTATTACGCGAGAGGTAAAGCTTTGTCCACTTCACTCAATCGTTCAGCTGTTAGTTTAGTCGTTCACAATGTTTAGTCTGCCATGTTAGGCGGTTCACTCTAGTACCGTTGCCGCTAATATGCTGTTTCATGTCATTTTGAATTGGCCGCCTCGACCAATGCATGTACAGAGCCAGGGCGCCGCCGACCGGGTCATCAGGCGCATGGCATGGATGGTCAGACGAATGAAGTCCTAGTTGTGGGAGCGCTAACGCATGGCCAGACTCCGGCCAGCTTGCCGTATCGCAGTCTGTGTAAACGCGACTAAAGATGGTAGTAGCTAACTTTACGGTAGGAGTGGTAGCTACCACCATAAGTGGCCTGAAGCAATGTTTAGCGGCTCCAGAACCATACGCAAAGGTAGAAATATTTAATTTAGTAGAAACAGCGCCTGATAGTCTTCTTAGTGGTGCAATCATACCGTGTTTGCCTTCTAGACATAGAGATACGTGTGGTGTATGGCTACGGCACGAAACCGATAGCCACTTCATGACAACAGAACCGGATGTAACTCGAAGCATCTTCAATAGTGGCTACAATAGACATTGAACTCGATTAAGGAAAGGGCCAAACGATAATTTTCTGCTGTGTAAGAAGAAATACTGGTATAATGAAAGGTTTTTGTTATCATTAGGGCCAACGGCAAGTCTTGCGCCGATTTGGCGTAAATATTGCTGCGCGAAACAAAAAGTGCGAAAAATGGTAATAGTGGCGGGGGATAAGTCTCGTTATTTCTTATATGCAGGCTTATTGTGGGCTAATCCTGCCCTCATCACAGTGTATACGCTTTATGTGATAGTTGAGTTTTCCAAACTAGTGCGTTGACAGCCATAAGATGGACGTTGCCGTTTAGGTTTTCGGGGGGCTCAAGTGCGTAGGATGGGTAAAGCCTTGAATCTAATATGAACCAAATGCGCATACTGTCACTGTAAACTCAGCATCAATTCAAATGTAGTATTATACCGAAACACTAGAATATAAAGAAACGTTATATAATACAAAACTTTGGAAATTTGAGAGAATATTTTTTTATAGAATTTGCATCATGAGTATCGAACTATGTAAGAAATAAAAACACATTTATCCGCTTATTATTTGTTGTAAAAAGATGGTTATCATTGAAAAAGGAGCCTGCCAAGATCTAATATCAACATCGATCAGATTGTTTTTCGTAATCGAATCTGGCTCGTTTTTATTTGATATGCATTTTCTTTTATGACAGAATGTACTGCTACATGAATGTTTTATTTTACGCGGAAAAAAATCGCATGTGACTTTGAAGGAGACCACGAGCAATTTCATTTCACTTTCACAGGAAATGTATAATCAATCGGCAGAATCCACCTGAGCTGCGTACTGTTCTTTTTGACACATCGCCTTAATACGTGACGGAAGCTCTGGTTAATAACCATCCAAGATGGACAGCAATACATATACATATGTTGCTGTTGGGTTACTACTTTTCCTTCATCTTCAAGTAAAGCTGACTTTTTTCGCTTGTCCAGTCACAAGTCATTGACGCACCTGTGCATTGTTTATGGTGACATGAATTCAACTCTAGCTGCATGGTTGGCTCGGCGTGCTGCTTAAGTTGAGCGATGCCGTACAGAACTAGGTGGAGGTATTCTACCCGTCATCACACCAGACACCTCGTAAATCCTATTCGCTACAGCTACTTTAGCAACGATCATCCTCCGACCAGAGGATTGGGTGATTTTCGTCATCTGACTCAAAAGAAATCTATCGACGCATGTAAAAGGTGCAAAATTCATTCCCTTATCATCCGATTGCAGTAGCAGTTTATATTAAAAGAAGAAGAAGATATTGACTACTAGTTATTTTCTAATGTTTCTAGAATAGAAATCGGAACTTAGAATCGGCGGGAAGAAAAACGGTAAAGCGGAAAGAAAAAGGTGTTTGTTGATTATTTTTCGGCTTGCAGAGAAAGTTTGTGCTCCCTTTGTAATATGCGTATAGCCCTATGTGTATTCTTACGATGGCAACTGTTCGTTTTTAAATCGATTTACCGGTTCGATCTATCGACCGATTTTCAACAGATTTAATATCACTTATTACACACTGCGGAGACAATATTTTATTTAACAAAATCAAGTAATCCGATCAGAACGTTTTTGACCTAGTCAGTTTTATTGGACAGATCTATTTGCCCAGGCCATGCATCACTGATCAATAAGACGACAATTTCCTTTTTTTTTTTGGGGGGAACACTGATCTACACCAGGTGGAAGTTTTAGTGAGGTAAAGCTTGAGCCAGTGTCGATTTGTATTGTATTCTGGCGCAACATATCCTACGTTTCAATGCAATGATCGCAAACTACTTCACCGTCATCAAAAAGGGCTCATAAAGGGACTAACTATGCGGTCATTCCTGAATTACCATTACACTATTCAAAACTATTTATGCGGAGCTTGAATTAGAATATGGTAGATTATAGGTGTAATAGTATTTATTTCTGATTACAAATATTTTATCTATGAAGCAGTATAGTTTAAATCTTGCACGGATAGTCAGTACGCATAGTTCTGCGCTTTAAAGATAGTGTGGAATTTTCGCCTGTATTGTCTGAAGCTTAATTGGAACAAAACTTTTAGGTTTTCGATGTTTTTTCTAAGCTATTCAGGGATCAAACAATGGGACTACAAAATCACAAAGACCATACCACTGCACAAAGCATATATGCCTTCGCCTCGTTTTTTTTTCTCCTGACAGAGTTCTAAGAGAAACCAACTTCTCTATCGAATGAACTGTGCCATAGGAAGCAGATGACGTTTCTTTGTTCGAATGGATACGATTCGTGCGGCGTATGAACATAGTCTCGTACGCAGCCATACATGCCTTTATACGCGCTGTCATACGCAGCAACGCTGAGCGAGGGAAGTCTGTTTGTTTACGATATAAAATTGGCTAGTAATCCTAATGAATATCATGCATTTTTTAACTGTGCAGATTTTTCAGATTGCTTCCGCCATATTTCATGCCATAAAAAACGTGTTACTAACAACACTAGTTACAAAAAATAACATAGTTCGAGAGCCTTTTCTTAAACAAGTAGGTCCGCGTAGTAGACTCGTTTCATAAAGCAGTTCTACGCCACGAATAGTGACTAGAATAGCAGAAACAGCATCAACTAGCGGAGTATGATGCCAATGTGCTGCCTTAGTATTCTCGGACACACAAGTCTTGGCTTTATCAAATATCATTTAAAGCGGTCAATAAAGAACATATTCCGGTTTGTGAGGTTCGAGGTTTCTACCTGACCCCTCAAATCACGAGCATAAAATATCTCCGAAATCCCATACTGTAAACAGCCATTATAAAGACATTCCTCAATATCGTTTATTTCTCACTTGAAACAACCTAAGCAAAGCGCCTTCCGCGCTATGTGCTGTCTAATTCGTACAAAATTAACCGTTCATGTACTGCTTATGTATCAAACTATATTAGTTTAAGAGAAATTTGTGCACTACGAACTGGTAGTCATCATGCAGCTCGATTTTTCTTCCAAAATATTGATAAATACTAGTCCAGGCACATGAAGTAGGTCGGAAGGGAAATACTCTATTTTGCTTGATGTTGTTATGATATTGAACTGACTTCGGTACTAAACTACACTTGTAGTTTTTCTATTCGAATGTTTTTATTTAGTATAGTGTAAATGATAAAAATTAAACATGCGAGGTCAATGGGAAAACACGCAACGGATGAAGTACTTTTCCACGTTTCTTCTAGTTACTACGTCACTGCCTACGGATGTACAGTGAAACTATAATATTTTAGTTCTGTTCAGAAAACTATTACTTCATCGATCGTATTGATTTTTTACTAGCGCTGTTTGTTTTTGCTCA